CCTGCTTTGGACAGCTCAACTGGGCAACCTGAATTGAGTTTTATGGATGTGATTTTGTGTATTATATGACGCCATTCTTAGAATATTTGGTATACAAGATTACACAGGTATTTATCTGCAGCTTGAATAGACTTTGTGCCCTAAAATACCTGCGTAACTGACAGATAATTATAATCTCATTATACTTCTGTGAGGTTGGGAAGGATTTTCTCATTATGACCAGTACAGAAGTGACACCCAGGACAGATGAAGTGACTTGTCCAAGGTCACTTTAGTCTGTAGCCAAACCAGGGATCAAATCCCTACTTCTTGAGAACTGGACCCCAAGAATTCCAGCTGACCACCTTCTCACTCCTCAGGATTATACTGTGATAAACAGACAGACCCTAACACACAAATGACTGATCATCACAGACTAACCAGAGACAAGACATCTTTAGAGCTGGCTGGGCTCTGATCCCCATGATACCATGTGAACTGGTGGAAGTCTTGAGACTGAGGCACATGAGACATTTCTGCCTTGCTTTTAAACTCCAGCATCAAGATGGTGGGAGGCAGGAGAATACTCATAATGACCTAAAAGAGAGACACAAGATTCAGGAAATTAATTCAGCAGTGATAGCATAGACCTGAGGCCATAGTCAGCCATGCATGGTGCCAGCATAAACCCAGTGCAGTTCCACTGGCCGGGGAGGGAGCCACTGGTGCAGGGAATCTCTGTATCACACTCCTATAAGTCTCCGAAGAAGTGTGTTGCTCTTGACTGTTTTGTGGCTTTAAAGAGTGTAATGGTATCTGGGGACACTTTAGATACTGCTCCCTAGGTCCAGAGGGCATTCCTCCCATCAGCAGCTCTGCTGGAGAACTAGCAATGTGGGGCAGCGAGAGCAGGTGGGGAGAGACTGAAGGGTGCTAAGAGAATGGGAACAGCAAAAAAAACCTCACAAAACACATTCTCCTAATGTCAACCCACAGCAGCTTTTGCAAGGAAGTAAAACAGAAGCAAGTACTGTCTTCCCTCCCCGCCTTTCTTTCTCTCCCAGACATGCACATTCCAATCCATGCTTAAGCATATCTGTCTGAAGCTGCATTAGACACCTTCATAACCACAACGACCTGTATAAAGCATCTAAACAGCATCTAAATGCTCAGAAAAAGCTAGAGTGATGTTACCTTAAACCAGGAGTTCTTCCGCATCTTCAAACGGCCCATCCACATATCGGTCAGCAGCATCTGTGTGCAAGTATGGGATACAAAAGGCCGCAGCCCCACAGACACTGCTAGTTTTAAGCAAGTTGAGTTGCTCCAGTTTTTCAGTTCATAGGTCAGCAACTTCATAGCCATCTGCTCGTTTTGTTTGAATGCTTTCTCCAGCACATCTAAGGCAAGCTGCCCAAATTCCCTAGACCAGAAAGGAATTAACAGTTAATATAACAGGGATCAGTCAAAACTCAGAATCACTGCTGCAAAGAGGTTGGTTTGAAAACTCCATTAACTAAAGTTCAGCTAACAATCTCGGTAAGTATGCCTTCTCCCATTTTTCGTGTTGCTTTATGAATATATCTAGTGAAAAATAATTTGAGGAGTAAATCTAACTATTTAGTCCTAATCACAAGTTTTAGGATCATCCTGTTTTCTGGTTTTTTATTTGTTTTATTCTTAATCCCACTCAGCAATCAAAATGGACCCTACGAAGTTCAGTGTATTTCTTTCAACAACAGACTCATCACCACTGTGGGCAAGCACTGCAGGCAGTTGCAAAAGCCCCTTCTTTTACACTGGCTCTTAAACATGTCTGTAGGGAAGCCTCCTCAAGGAAGATACACCTTCCTTTAAATTAAGCTTTGGAGCTGCATCCAAAACAAGACAGCACATCTTATTGTACTCTGACTCTGAGGCATGATGTCTGCAAAGCCTACAACATGTCATTAACAAGAAAAACTACCAGAAAATACTAACATGAAACTACAAACTTGAAGAGAATTCTTGGTCCATTTCATTTTTACTCACTTAGTTATTTCAGCGTACATTTTTCTTTAGGTCTTACACAGAGCAGGATTTAAACACTGATTTTAGTTTGCTCATTTCCACGTTACAGATTTGAAAAGTTCAACACATATGTGCCATATGGCTTTTTAACAAGTGGAACCGGAAGGGAAGCTGTAAGGGAAATTTCAGGCTTCCACTTGACCATTTAGTAGACAGTGAGCCATGCATTACTCACCTATATTTTAATTTTCAAATATGCAACTAGATAACATGCTAATAGCTTTCCTTTAACTCTCAACTAGACTGCACACCAATACATAGCTCCATTATATAACACGAAAAGTGGGCAGCTGAAAGTATTTCTTTTATACTCCGTAGTCCATGGCACCACTAACCTTACAAACTCTTAGTGGATTAGGAAAATATCTAACCATTCTTTAGTGCAGACTTTATTAACTGAAGTGAAGGGAGAACTCATACTTTGAGTACGTCTTGAGTTCTTCTGAAGTGTCATCCACCATGTTGCTCTGTTTAGCTTCATGTGCCATCGCCCTGTAGAGTTTACAAGCCACAACGGCTTTGACCATGGCTTCCTCTCCGTGCTGCCAGAAGAACATTGCCATCTTCTGCCTTTTCATTAATACGGCCCAAACCAGGAGGTCATTATAGGGGTAGATAAAGCCAGATGACTCATAGTTCTCTGCAAAGTTTATATCCTCCTTTGATTTCTTCTTACACTTATGGAAAGCAGTGGATCTTTCCTATAGATTTGTTTTTTTAAAAAAAAAAAATCTCAGTGAACAGTTGCGGTTCAGATTCATGTAACTAAAACTGCACGCAAATCTGAATTGCAAGTAGCAAACTATCTGATTGTTATATACATTTAAGTCATAAACCACAGCTAGGATCACATTCAGATTACCAATGCTAAGAAGCTGGTAACATTAGTGGAGTAAAAACACTCTTTGCTCTGTACCCATGCCATTTATAGCCTCCCCTTCCATAGTGTTGGGCAGTCTCCAAACCCTGTGATACCAAGATCCTATTTTCACTCTTTTCTTGTACTTGTGTCATGACAGAAGAAAAAGCAATCAGTAGACTGAAACATACACTATGGACTTGTGATACTTAAAGATGATTTTTACTGTCTGCTACACTTGTAATGTAAACTTGCTATACATTCATGTCTGGACATTTCTCCATTAAAGGCAAAGAAAAAGTCTTGCTGGTATAAGTGAGGTTGTCTCAGTGCTATCATGGGTTCATTTTGGTTCAGACTAATTCCAATAAAGCCATTTAAATTCAGTCTATGTTTTGTCTATCAGATATATGTATGTGGCGATCTTTGCTTTTTTATCATTCTTTCTTTGAAAGAAAATACTCTGTCATCATTTTCCAGATATCACAACTGTATCTCTTCTTAGTAGGCTTACTGTAGCTACTTTAATAAGCAATCATGAGAAAACATCAGGAAAGTCAGAGAATTCCCACTGTTGCTTCCAAAAAAGAAGAGTTTTTACCCATGCTTCATGTTCAGAAATTTGGCGATACTACATTTCAGTGAACGAAAGCCCTTAGCAACAAATGGGTGGAAGTTAAAAAGTATCACAGGAGGTGTTTGAGCTTGATTTCAACATTAAAATTGCAAGACCTGTACTTCATGAACAGTGAGCAGTAAAACATTGCTTCCACTGGAATTTAAGTAGAATTATGATAACTAACAGCCTGACCAACATACATCTAAAATCTCTCAATAAAATGATTAGCAGCCTAATATGTCCTAAGCAAAGTCTAGAATAAGCAATTATATTACCTTGTATTTGTAAGGCTGTGCTGTTCTGAAGAACTGAGAATGCAAAGTACTTTCAGCAGACCCCGTTCTGCTACCTGTCTGATTACTCTGATGAAGGGAATGAGACAGGCTCTGAGAAAAGCTGGAGAGCACTCTCTAGATCCAAAGGCGTACCATAAAACACAAGGAGAGAAATGCAAATTAGAGATGAAGTTTGCCTGTACTTACCTCTGATTGCAATGGTGCCTGTAGAAACTGATGTTATTCAAAGACTAGTGAGTCCACAATCACTATAACTATTACTGGAGCTTATACCATCAAGGAAAAAATAGCCTGTTTCACATCTAATTTAAAAAAATATATTTTTTTCTGAATCTCTAAATTCAAAATACTGATTTCCCCAATAGCATCCACCAAATACAACAACAGGGCTTGCACCAGATTGGAATCACCCAACCTGGAAGCTCTTCCAAGCGCCTACCATTATAAAAAATGCCATAAGCCCTTTAAAAGACAAAAGTTCTACGAACTTTTTGCTGACTATTTCCTCTGAAGAATGGCATGTCTAGTACCCCTGGGCATTTTGTTCAGTGCTGACTGAGAGGGAAGAATGTTACCAGCTGAATCACTAACACTCTTCCCTGCAGTTCCTAGTTACATGATCATGTAGTTTCACTCATCCCTGTTAAGGTCATATTTCATGAGGATACAGTGAAGAATGTTACAACTCATCAAATCTCTCTTTTTAAGCATTGTATTAAGCCAGTGACACACAGAAAGCTCCGTCTCTGCGTTTCTACTCACTCCAAGTAACAGTTTTCATTATTTCTTCTCATTTTCCCTGATCACCCTGAGGTTCTTCTATTAGTCATGAAGGCAGTACATGGGGATGAGAGGTTTTTGTTGTTTGTTTTTTAACATACGGAAGTACTTTAATCAAAGTCCAGCTCTACTCCGAAAACTGGGGAGAATTCTTATGTGGTAAATCTGCTCCTCCTGTCATGTTGGGAATGATATTCGGCTAATTCATTGAGAAGTTTAGGCTGTTTTCAAGTTACTGGTTTTGGAAAGTCAATGGGGGAAATGAAAGTGCTAGTATGTTTGCAAACTGTTGTTCTGAGGCAGTTTGTTTGTTTGTAGAGGTGATGCTACTGATATGCAGACACGGCACAATGCTATGCCGTACAGTGAAACACCTTAAGCGTCTAGAAGGTGCAGAACGGCACACATGTACCAAGCACAACCCTCTGCCTGCACAAAGCCACTGCACCATGGGAGCAGCCTGGCACGTCCAGCATGAGACTTCCCCTGTGATGACCAGTGCATCACAGAAAAAGCTCTGCCGGTCAAACACAGCTCATTGGCCTGCGCAGGAAGATGCACCGCTAGCACTGAGCTGCTTCTAAAAGGTGAGACATTTGCTCAAAACTTGGGTCAGGGATCTCGGATTTCCATGTTCTTCTTCACTATGCCATGCTGACATGCTCTAAGTCTAGTTCAATGCCTGTTGAATTCAGTATTTCTGTGATGTGGTTCAAGTTGCAAGAGCAGAAACATGCAACTGCTTCACAGAAGGGAAAATGGTGGTTGGTACAGCCTTGTCGATCTTTATTGATGGATGACAGACAAAGAACACATCCCAGCTACCAGACACAAAGGTAAATTTACTGAATTAATAGTTAATTTAACAATCACCGGTAGTCTTGGGGGACAGGGAGTAGTTTGGGGAGGGATTTGTCTGTTTTATCTACAACCTCTCCAGAGCTGGCAAAGAGATTCATAAAACAGACAAGCATGGCATACATTTAACTGATTCTCTTCAGACAAACCACGGTGACAACCTGAGCTATTTTCAGGTGTCACATTTTGGCTTTTCTTGGTGACCAGTGGTAGCCACTTCACAGAACTTACCTTGTGTTTTCTGTAGAGATCATTGTAGAGAATTCGGAAGTGCTTCCTTGTGTAGCTGCTCCGATAAGCTCCACCAAGGAGGTACTCTATCACCAGCCCAATATCAATCAGTGATATCTTGTAATCCAAGGAAAGGGTATTCTGAAACACCAAATGTCACAAGCATTTCATGATGTTATTATATGCAACATTCAACCATGTCAGAGTCCTACTACTATGAGACGAGTCTGGAAGAAGGTACAACTGAGAGCTCCTGCATCTGTCAGGAAAGTACACATTCATTAGGCATCTGAAACCCCCCTAGAGGGACAACACAAGCACATCCACATTTTCAGCCTGAGAAGTGTGACGTCTACAGTCCACTGCACCCAAATCGCATATAGACATAAATTGCAATGTTCACAAGACCAGCTGCATTCAACAGTGAGGGTAATGGTTCTTCAGGTTAATCACCAACAGCCAGAGAGACTGATGAAAATCTTCTCATAACAAGAGAAAACTAGCATGGTATGATTTGCTCATTAAACTAGTTCATGAATTAAATATAAAGAAGTGGATGAAGCACGTATTTAATGTTGTAGAGCAATTCCTGTTGTACAGTAATCTCTTGTAGAGGCTCAAGACTGTCATGACAACTAGGACAGCAGCTGCACATGCATTAGCTGTACCTTCTGAGTCTCTCACCACTTCTGTTTAAAGCACCACTGCTTCCCAGTTTACCTCCGCTGTCCTTGCAAGACACAAGGTTTGTGACAAATTCTCTGAAGAACAGATTATCTTCCATGCAGATTTTAAAGATTATTGGTAAAACCTTAAACCACGACTCTTGGAAGTGAAAAATGGGCCTGTACATAGATGGGATCAGGGGCGTTATGTATTCCTAGCTGTGTATGCCTTTCAGACTGTGAAAAGTCATTTTCTCCATTAGACTGAGGTTTTTTCCAATAGACTTCAGTGGCAAGACTCAGTACAGCCAGCTAAGGCCACCCAGTCCTGGGGAACAGAAGGTACAAACATGCTGAGCACTCTGGGACAAAAGCATGTCTCACAGGATAGAGCTTGCCAGCTCTGTCATTGATTGTTAGGCAAGTATTTCTGACTACCTATACTTGTAGGTACTTCGCTGCACTAAAAAGCATATTTTATGCTATCAGGACAGACTACAATGTATCTCCATTCAAATGCAGCAGCAGCAAAGCTGGTCACACTAATGGAGAAAATACTCTGAAATCCATGGTCACATCACTCTGGTGACTGTCCTAGCTACTGTGTTATCATATTTAATAAGACAGCAACTATACAACCCATTCACAAAGCACTTATGCATATTTACAGAGGCTCAGGTGAAAAAGGCTTTTCAGCGTTTAGACATGTTTGCAGGTCCCAAGTGAGTTCAGCTTACCCAACAGCATAGAAAGTTTTGAAATTGTGCACCCGTTCTCTACCTACATTCCACTATTCCATTTCAAGTGCCAAAAGCTTCCCTTTAGATCACACCCGGAGTATTCCCAGAGTGTCCTAAGATGTAACCAGGCCATGGGTTTTAGGAGAGGCGTCGTATCAAGGAGCAAATCACTTCAGTATCAGTGAGAAAGAAATTTCTCAGCCTGGAGAAGTTCAATGTATTTTCAACACTGACATCTTCCAGATCTATCACATAAATTAGACCTCAAATACGTCCATCAGTATGGGAAAACACAGAAAATAGCTTGCTATGGAGACCAGAATACCCTACACCTATCTATAGAACCATCAATGGGATTGACATGAAAGTCACCCACAATAAGAAAATTATACCAGAAATCCCAGTACCTGAGACCACAGAACGCTGCAAACAGCCAGACTTACCATTTTATTTTATCTTAGCATTCATACGCTGGAAAGAATTAGCCAATTAATCTAGTTTTGGATCTAGGCATCTCCTGCAGTGGAGACTAGATGCAGAAAGAACAGCTCATCCCTTCCCAGCTAAGCAGTGCTGTGAGGTGCAATAGATAACAGAAACATGAAATAAATTAACTGTGTAGCTAAATAATAAGGCTGCCACTAAACTACTAACAGAGCCTGTGCTCCATGCAGTAGTCATCCACTGCCACCTTCTGTTCTCCTAGGCACATTAAAATAATATTATATCTTGTCACAGTATCTTCTTGTTACTGCTCAACAAGGAAAGGCTTTTCTAGCTTTGGGGAAAAAAAGAAAACCTTAAAGCAATGAGCATAATTACTGCACTAATTCACTAAGTCTTCTGTACAATCACATCATAACGTCACTTTAGTAACTTGAGAAAGACAGTCTGATCTACACAAACTGCTTGGCTTTGAAATTAAGGTACAGGACCTTTGGGAGCATTCAGCAGTAGTGTGCTAGTTAATTGCTTAGGGGGATCAGTGGGATTAAGATAAAACCATTTAATATATATAGAAGCATAGTAATGAACCCATCACTTCTATTCCTAAAATTCCCCTGTATTACCTAATAGCAGTGTGCCAGTGGACGCTGAAGTTCTAAGCTACCATTTTTGCTCCCCAGCCTTTCCTATGTCTATTACCTGTTTCACATCTCGAACTAGGTGATGCAGAAGTAGATTTGATGGTCCTTGTTTCTGTGGTGTGAAAAGAAAAGACAGTAAACAAACATGTCACTGTACATTAGAAAATCAATACAGTAAAAGAAAGTAGCTAAAAGATCTTCTGGATAAGCTACTGCAATTCAAACTCTCCCCACTCAAACTCTCCCCACAAATCTCTTCAAAAACATTTCAACACCAATCTGCAACACCTCTACTACCTTACATCTTGACGTATTCTAGAAAGAAGTTGGTATCATTTTGGTTAAACAACATACCATTTTCAGCAAGATAAGAAAGTATCACATACCAGATTAAAATCAGAAGGTATTTCTCATGAGCTTCAGGTGAGTACACAGCCTGGTTCGTGTCAATGAATTGAAAATAAAAAGCTGGGATACCAATCCAAAAATCCAACATTACAATCAAAAATTATCAAAACCTGTTCATTTTCAATTTTTTTCAAAAATCCTTCATAAAAACGTGGCCTAATTATCAAATCTCTTAAGCAAAACAGTATTCTTCCTAGGTATTCTTATCTAAGGTTGTACACTGGGATTTCAAATACTCACTGTATTGTAGAGTTCTTCCAAACGAGATATGGTAAGAAAACGGTGCATGTTCACTCCATGCTCTATTAAGAGCTTCACAAAATCCACACGGTCCATCACTAAAGCGTCCAGCATTGCCTGTTCCAAGGCACCAACCTCCAGAAGGACAGAGATGAAGGAAAAGCTTAGAAAATTATCATTTTCTTTTGGAAATAAATAAAACATTCCTGAACAGCTAGGGTTCTCTTTATCGCAATGATTTGTCTTTATGTATATTCAAAGTGCACAGTACGAAAGAAAAATATGCTGGAGGAAGCATCTGCGTAAAAAATCCAACAGAGAGGGGGAGTAAAACTGTATCTCCATAAACCCAACATCTGTAGAGACTTCTACAAATCTAACTTTACAACCAGACTCTGATAATACCTTCCCTACTCTTTAATTCACTTCAGAAGCTAATGTATGATAATGCAGGGGGCAGAGGGAAGCCTTTCTTTTTTGACATATGACAAAAGCCATTTCAAGGTACTGTATTTCAAGATCTCTCTATAGAACTTGAAGTTCTTTAAAGCAGTCTTCTTTTCAAATATGAGAGAGAATCTGCATTAGGATAAACTCTCTCAAAGACACCATGAAGCAGAGCTCTACCTACAACAGTGTCCAAACAGTGAAAGCACTCTACTCATGGCACTTGCACAGAGCTCAGCAGGATTTCTACACGCAAAATAGCACAGGAGTTAGACATATGAGGTTCATATAAATCCATATAAAGAATTTCTACAGAACCCAAATGCACAGAAAATGCAGTGGGGTGAGCAGAATGAGGCTGCTGGCACACAAATGGGGCAGGTGCTAGTGCTAACTTGGCACGTGAAGTTAGTCCTTTCCATGTACATATTTAAGTTTGGTGGAAGTAATATTAAAACATGACCAATAAATGTTACAGAATTGTCACATATGAAAAGAAATCTTATGCGCTGTTCCTGAACTATTGGTGTTTCTTCCAGAAATATCTCAAAGTGACATTCTTGTATTAAAATTCCTCGAGCAGCCATTCCTTGCACTGGCAGAGTGTCTAAAGAGGTTTAGACAGTCATCTGGTAACTACCAGAATGACATTCTTTGATGTAAAGTCCATTTGAGACTGAGCTGACATTTAAGTAGAAACATGGTTACAGCTGGTTACAATCTTTACCTTCTGAACTTTTAGGACCAGAGGTCTAAAAAGAAATGGCCACAATCTGTGCATAATTGTGCATGTTTCCTTAAAACACTTAAATAGACAGAAAAATACTAAGACTGCATGGACAATCACCTAAAAATTGCTGCTTAAATATCTAATTCAAAATCTGAACACACAACCACAATAACCATGCACAAACTGTATAGACCCTGACAATTGCAGGTCTGGCAGACCCTAACAGTTGGAGGGGTACTCCACTTTAATTAAGAAAGCAACTAAGTCAAAAGCAAACTTTAAAACTGTGCTTGTGCATTTTCTTTTTTTTTCTTTTTTTCGTCTTCTTTACAATGCATGAAGAAATTATTGTTATTTAATTTTTTTTTCCTGCTTAGTCAAAAGAAAAACTTTCAGGAATATACGTCATTGTAATTTTTGCTTGGAGAAGCAGCAAGAGATGTAAGGCTTGTTTATTACGAGCTCTTTACATCTTACTTGAAGGGGAGAACATACTCATTATCTGACAATGACTTTTCATTCAAAACGATGCTGAACAATTGCACTGAAAGAGATATGAACAGGTACATAGATCTTTTTCAAACCTATCAGAAGCAAAGGAGTGGGAGTAGGGGGACTGCCAGTGAACCTGTAAGGCCAGAGGATGATCAAGGTATAAAAGAAACATGCAAGGAGGTAAGGCTATTGCAGAAATGGTAAATTAATTCATTGCCTCACTGCTCACTACAGAACATGTTAGGAAAGGTCCTACATCAAAGCTGTTCTTTATGGCAGACAAATCTGAGGAACTGTGTCAAATTGAATTGTCAGTAGAAAAGATTATAGAAGTCATCCGTAAAGTGGTAGCAAATTGTCAGGACCAGGTGGTATTCACCTAAAAGTTCCCAGGGAACTGAAGTATAGCTGAAATCAGCCCCTCTAACAGCAGAATGGAAGACAGTAGAAAGTATGCCAACTGTTAAAAAAGACAAAGGAATATACAAGTTGTCAAAGTATGGCATATCAGTACAGTTAGAACTTTGTAAGGACAAATATAATGAAACTACAATAAGGAATAGCAATAATAGCAACATGGGTAAATACAGCAGAATAAGAGGAAGCAAGGCAGTTATTTTGTAGAATGAAATCAGAACTCTACCAGAATTTTGGCAGGGACAATGAGGATAAGACTGTTCAATTGATACAGTATGTTTGTATCCCCACAAAAGCTTTTGAGGATGGCTTTCTTGAAGGACTTCTAAACAAATTAAGCAGTCACAAGGCAAAAGGTCCTCCAATTGTTTAATAACTGATCAAACGGTAAGGAAAAAGATTATTAATAGTGGTGGGAGATGAAGAAAATCCCACACATTGAATACTGACTTGACAGTATTTGCTGATGATATAAAAATAGTCATCATCATAAAACTGATTGGGAAGAGGTGCAGAAAAATGTCATAATATGGGCTAACCAGCCAAAAAAGAAGGTGAAATTCAATATTGGTAAATGTGAAATAATGTGCATTCAGGAAACAACCCTACCTGCACATCAGTCTTGAAGTTAACTCAGAAAAAATGTTAGTGGACGTATCTTCTGAAAGCATGAACATAAGTTGGCTATAAGTTAGAAACAAGTGAAAAAGGCATACAGACTACTAGGATTTACACTTAGATGAATACAGAATAATGTATAAAATATTAGTATTTCACTAAATATCTCAATGGAGAACCCCATATCTTGAATATTGGTTACTGTGCTGGTCTGCCTATCCCAAAAGATGACTTTAAGACCCGAAAAAAGTACACGGAAGAGCAGAAAAGATTGTCAGAAATATGAAAAAACTGAACAAATAATCACCTTAGGAAAGCCAGAAGTGTCCTCTAAAACCTTCTGTGTCAAAGCAGTGGGGACTAGGAACATATTATTCGTTATTTCCCATGCACATAGAAACATAGAATCATTGAGGTTGGAAAAGACCTTTAAGATCATCGAGTCCAACCATTAACCTAACACTACCGAGTCTACCACTAAACCATGTCCCTAAGCGCCACATCTACACGTCTTTTAAATACCTCCACGGACGGTGACTCAATGACTTCCCTGGGCAGTCTGTTTCAGTGCTTGACAACCCTTTTGGTGAAGAAATATTTCCCAATACCCAGTCTAAACCTCTCCTGGCACAACTTGAGGCCATTTCCTCTCGTCCTATCACTTGTTACCTGGGAGAAGAGACCGACACCCACCTCGCTACAACCTCCTTTCAGGTAGTTGTAGAGAGCAATAAGGTCTCCCCTCAGCCTCCTTTTCACCAAGGAACAGAAGGCATCAAATGAAAATAGCAGGTAGCAAATAGCCACCAAAATTTAACATTCTCAATTTAAGTTCTCTTTATTTAGTAAAGCCTTTGACTCTGTTTCCCACAGCATTCTCCTGGAGAAACTGGCTGCTCGTGGCTTGGATGGGTGTACCCTTCGCCGAGAAAAAAACTGGTTGGAAGGCCAGGCCCAAAGAGAGTTGTGGTGAATGGAGTTAAATCCAGTTGGCAGATGGTCACAAGCAGTGTTCCCCAGGGCTCAGTTTTGGGGCCAGTTCTGTTTAATACCTTTATCAATGATCTGGACGAAGGGATCGAGTGCACCCTCAGTAAGTTTGCAGATGACACCAAGTTGGGCGGGAGTGTTGATCTGCTTGAGAGTAGGAAGGCTCTGCAGAGGGACCTGGACAGGCTGGATC